ACCCCCCTGGAAGAAGCCTGACAATCACCGGACAAATAATACTGAATCTGGAAGACTTCCCTGGTGTTGTCTTTCCAGCCCCCGCTCACCAGTGTGTTCCCGGGCCTTCCAGGCCTCTGTTGTCGCTTTAGAAGTATCTTGTATCTTAACTGATGCGTGTTCCAACGGTACATTGCCTCCTGCTTTACCTGTATCTTCTCTGGGCTTCCAGGCCTCTGTTGTCGCTTTAGAAGTATCTTAACAGATGCGTGTTCCAGCGGTACATTGCCTCTTGCTCTACCTGAATCTTTTCTGGCCTTCCAGGCCTCTGTTGTCGCTTCGGAATTACCTTGTGTCTCACCAGCCGGCTGTTCCAGCAGGAATTACCGCTCCAGCTGTTCAACGCTGGTTTGTACTCTTTGGTGGAGACGTTTCTGGTTGCTGATATTTCCAGTGGGCTAGTTCTACCTGGCTGTTGTGGTGTTGTGTGAGTACTCGTCTTGATGCGTTTAAGGGGGTCGAGCCTCAGCTGCCGGCCCCGCCCTTCCGAATTTCCTTAGTTCGGTTCAGTGACTTCGTTTCCAGGCTTCTGTTATTATATTATATCTCAGACATTCTAGGTATGAACAACACACGCGGAAAAAGCTGTTTTCGGCATCTCTGTGATTGAATTCCCTCTTGTTTCCGTCTGTTTCTCTCGTTCTGCTGTTTCTAGATTAGAGCAATGCTGCTTTATCCACTAAGGATTTTGTATGTAGTCATCATGTCACTTCTATTGCTCCTTTGCTCCAGTATGGTGAGCTCTAGTTCCCTCAGTCTCTCCTCGTAACTCAGGAACGAGCCTTGTTCCATATTTTTGGCTCCTTTCTCGTTTTCTGGTGATTTGTGAGGTAAAGGTTCCATGCCGGGTCTGCGTACTCTCAGGTTCTACATAGGGCCCAGGGTGGCTACTTTGTCATTGTTTCTGAAGGCTACACGGACCTCAGACTGCTGGGCATATGTTGCTGACGTGTTTATTTACCTGTTTGTATTCACCTGTTTGTATTCACCTGTTTGTATTCACCTGTTTGTATTCACCTGTTTGTATTCACCTGTTTGTATTCACCTGGAGTGATGTGATGAGTCTAACCCGACCTATTTACTGCCATGTCTGAAACCCCAACTATAGACCATACGAAGGATGCAACCCACAACAGCTTCTAACCCCTAGGTACCTATTTACTGCTAGGTGAACAGTTGCATCAGGGAGAATGAAACTCTGCCCATTTGTTTGCAGAGCCTATTCAGAGTCCTCTGCAGTCCATTCAGCCGTGAAGCTCCCTGTGTGTGTGTGTGTGTGTGTGTGTGTGTGTGTGTGTGTGTGTGTGTGTGTGTGTGTGTGTGTGTGTGTGTGTGTGTGTGTGTGTGTGTATGTATGTGTGTGTGTGTGTGTGTGTGTGTGTCTGTGTGTGTGTGTGTGTGTGTGTGTGTGTGTATGTGTGTGTGTGTCTGTGTGTGTGTGTGTGTGTGTGTGTGTGTGTGTGTGTGTGTGTGTGTGTGTGTGTGTGTGTGTGTGTGTGTACCTATTTATGTGGGTCGAGTTTAAGTTCCCGGACCCGCCTTTTCTAATTTCTGCCTTCTGGTTAATGACTTCTATTCCATGTTTCAGTAATCTTGTATGTTAAGGGAATTGCTAATGCAGGCTTTCTGACTTCTGTATAATCTTCAGATTCACACCCTTTGCCCTTAAAGAATGTTGTATATCTCGGTCATGTCTCCACTCATCCTTAGTTCTTTGAATATTGTGAGGTAAAATTAGTTTGACCTTTACTTCTTGGTCAGGTCACTTCACTCTGGGACACGTGAACTCTTGGTCTGAAGACAGATACACACACACACACACACACACACACACACACACACACACACACACACACACACACACACACACACACACACACACAACAGCTGGTACGATGCAGCAGCACGTAGTGTGTGTCGAAAGAGATTAAGCACAGATGGGTGGAGCAGCTGCTGCAGGTGGGTGTAGCAGCTGCTGCAGGTGGGTGGAGCAGCTGCTGCAGGTGGGTGTAGCAGCTGCTCCAGGTGGGTGTAGCAGCTGCTGCCAGGTGGTGGGTGTAGCAGCTGCTGCAGGTGGGT